CTTAGGCCATATTTTCACTAAAGGGAAGATTGATGCTGCTAGATCTTCTAGCGTTCGATTTAGCGGGTCTAGTTAAGACTCACTAAATTGAACTCAGAGGGTTTCTTCTCCCTCCTCCCCCTCCCCCCCCAATCAACCAGTGCTCCTGTGAGAAGTAAGGGAAGCCGAGCATTTGCTTCTGTTGGCCCCCAGCTGTGGAAGTAGCTGGAGTTGCAATCTTGAGTCAACCTTCCCTTTTAGGGTAGATCTGACCTTAAAGTAACTGAACAAAAAGGGCCTGAGTCACTAAGTTAGCTTCTCCTAGTCTGAGACGAAGGGCTTGTCTACATGCTGAGTTGCTGCACGGCAAGCCGGAGGTGATCTTCAATGCCCAACTTGCTATGGGGTAACTTGTATAAGAATCTGGTTTTATTGTGCACACACACAGCTGTAGCAACCTGGCAATCCCCCACTGCCCTGGCTATGTACCACTTGGGCCTCTGACAAGGGACTGTGCAGTGCAGGGAAGATTTATAGGCTGATGAAAGATTCTCTTACCAGTGCGTTAAACCCAGCCCTAAAACGTTCTTGAAACCAGCAAGCACATGTCACTCTCCATCCAAAGGAAGCTCTGTCCTGCCCTGTCAGTGAATGATTGCCAAAGGGTCAGAGGCCAAATCACTACAGGTTGAAATTCTCTTAACTGGGATTCTCTTGTCCTGCAACATCCATGGTCTGGCACGGATGTTGCAGGACTAGAGAGCGTGGAGGGCCAGTGGCAATGATCCCTGTGGGGCCAGCAGGGCAGTAGGCTGCCTGCAACAAGCTGAGGGGGGCTGCCTGGCGCATGGTTGCCTAGTGGGTCCTGGAGCCCCCGCATGGCGTGCGTGGGTGCCCCGTGGGTCTAGGATCTTCAGTGTGGTGCACATGGCTGCCCAGCAGGTCCAGAGCCACGGCAGCAATGTCTGCCCAGCAGGGCTGGTACTGCAGCAGGGCCAGCAGGAGGTGGGGGCCAGCTGGGAGGCCAGCAGAGCCAGTGGTAGAGGTCCAGAAATGACCTCCCCTGATCCGGCAACATCCCTCATCCAGGACTGTTCAGGTCCCAACGGCGCTGGGCCAAGGAGATTCAGCCTGTAGTGGGTTCTAGAATAACAGCACAGGGGTAAGCGCAGCCAAGCTGCTTTTGTTCAGTTTGTCCTGCATGTCTTTGGCTCACGCTGCCAGCAGCTTTCCTGCATCCATCAGGAGCAATAGAACAGCTTTCCGTAAGTCGGTGGCTTTTTGTACAGGTCTGCCATGCAACTGATTTTCCCCCCCAGCCGCTCCATATCCCGGTGCAGTCCATCCTTTTGCATGGCTTTGCAACTCCAGGCTGAGCAGTGTGTGGAACAGTGGCGGGCAACCTGCAGCTAAAGGGCCTCGTGCGCCATTGCAGTTCTTTGTGTGGCCTGGGAGACGTTCTGTTTACCGTTGTCCATGTGCTAGGTTGCCAGATGCCGCTGTTTTCCATCCACAGAGGGTTTTTTCCCCCTACAGGTATTACTAAAGTGTCATGCATGTAAAGCAAGGGCATGTGAAGTGAAGTGGGTGCTGATTGCACACAACATTGACTGTGAGCCATGCGCTCCCTCTGCCTCCAGTCAAAGTGCTGCTATGATGCAATTGGCAAACCCTGCAAATTCTAGGTACATATACAAGCGCAGTTAGTAAAATGATCCTATCCCAGGAGACCGTCTTGGTTATGACAGTCTTGCAGCCCACTGAGATGGAGGGGCCTAGTGAGTGAGCTTCGGCAAAAAATGAGTCACAAGGTAACAGCGGCAGCAGCTGAACTGAGCAAAAAGGGGTAAAAAAGGCTTTAAAAAACTAAAACGTTACAGTATACTGTATACAGTATGTACAATAAAAAGGGTTAAGAACACTTTATATACAGTATATAATGTATACAGTGTGTATATATAACCAGTTTATAGTACCTACTGATAGTCTGGCATATTTGATAATCCAGCACCACCTAGGTCCCATAGGTTCCGGATTACCGGAAGTCTACTGTAGCTCCATCACAAAGGGGCAACGTAAGGATTGAGGCTTTGGTTATAACACTCAGCTCTCCTGGCTCTATTTGCCTTCCTGTTACCATAGGTTCCTGGCTACGCACCCGGTGTTGCAGGTGGAAATTCATGTGATTCTGTCCCTAGAATGTGAATCTAGAGGGAGAGGCGTACGCTCAGTTGTGCTGGAGAAAGTGGAATCTTGTCTCTCTCTCCCATCCTTTAAGATAGCGACAGGCCTCCCCATGGTGCAGTTGTGTGGCTGGAAATCTGAGCTTCTTGGCCCTTGGCTCCCTGAAGAAGATGGTGTGGGAGCCACGCTGGAGTGATTTGCTGGGTTTTCTCCCTTTTCCTGGTGCCTTCTCAGAGCCTCTCCCCAGCTACTTGTTGAGGGCAGCAGCTTCCCAGTTCATTCAAGGTACAGAGCAACTCAAACATCCATAAAAACCCTGTTGGGAAGCACTAAGGGTCACAGATTTGTCCATAGCTGTGGAACAAAGGCGCTTGCTGGCCTCAGGACACCATCTGGGGAACATGGGGGAGGGGCAGGGAAGGGGATTCTGCTCTCTCCCCGCTGAGGGACTCGCAACTTGCCTCCTGCCCAGAATCTTTTTGAAGTTTCCTGGCTCCCTCTGTTCCCCGGCAGCCAAGGGATCCTTTGCTGCACACCAGGTCCCAGGAGGGACTTGTGTACTCTGGGAACTTGGATTTGCCTCTGCACTTCTTAAGCCTTCAACTGCTGGTGGCTCTCTCTGCCGCCCTGAATATTTCCAGGCATGGAACTGAACCATAAAAAGCTGCGGATGCAACTTGGGAATAGTTATTTAGCAGCCTCGGTCACCAGAAACACTGACATACACATCCATTGCTCAGACTCTCTGGGAGGGTGGTCTCTGTGCCTCTGTGGGGATGCATAATTCAAATGGCCCACATTTTTCTGTGCCCCCCCCATGAAGAAAAAAAAAACCTGTTGGGGCTGGAAACACAAGCCTCTTTCTGGGCAGCCCAGGCAGCTTCATAGACAGGGGAGGCACCTGGGCTTGGCATCTGAGCCTGCATTATCACAGGGCGAGAGGTGGGAGGGTGTACATAGGTGGGTGCCAACAAATGAGGGGGAGAGATTCTGCTTCCCCTCTCCCCCAGCTCCTGGCCTGTAAAGATAGGGCTTTTTAATTATGCAGGAGGCAGGCTAGAGGCACAAATGAAGCAGCCTGACCAAGTTAATTGATCTCATTCTCTGAGGCACAAATGTAGCACCATGGCTGCAAATAAAGTTGTTAAAGTTGCTGTTGATGGTTAATTGATCTCACTCTCTGAGGCAGAAATGTATCAGAATGCATAATGTTCCTATTATTAGTTAACTGTTCCCATCAGTCAATTCCCTCAGAAGTATAAAATCAGTGAATCTTTTAAGGCCCCTACCTTGTCAGAGTGATGTAAAGGAGCCTTATGAAATGACAGTAAGGGAATCCTCAGTTTAGATAAATTTATGTGCACTCTCACTTTTTTTCCTCTGCCAAAGTGGCACAATGAGGTTAGATTCCAGCTCAGGATTTATTTTGCTTACCCATTTAAAAAAAATCACATTTAACAAGTAGTTGATTAAAATGTCAAGACAATCAGAACCAAGCACTTCCCGTAGTACCTAACCAGGTCCAGGACAATGATAAGCAAAACTAGGACTTTCATGTGTGAAAGTCTGAGCGCTTTAAAATCCTGTTGTTGTTGTGTAATGTAATTTAAATGAAAATCCAGAATTATAACTGGAATGCAGGGTATTGGTTACCAAGTGTTTGTAGCTTAATTTTTATGTGTTTAGGAAATGCTGACTAGTTATTGTGACTTTTCTGTATTGTAGTTTAAATAACTTATCCAAACAACTGAAACTGGTGTGATTATATTACACTATTGTGACAAAATGTGCAGGACATTTTTTTTTTTTTTTTTTTTTGTGTGTGTGTGTGTGTGCAGAACCCCCCTTCTACCTCCGGAGTAATAATATGGTGGTGTAGCTAGTTTTACCAGGAATGCAGCCACTTCTAGGGGGAAAGGAGACAGCTGAACGATATACTGCACAGCAGAACAGGACATGAGAGGAGGCGGGGGGGGGCACTGAATTGAAATTGGAGGGCACATTAGTCAGCAGAGGGCATGGCCCTGGGGTAACAATTTATAGGTAGAGTCCTGGGTGGATACAAAATTGGTACCTACATCTGTATCCACAAAAATGATCAGCAGATATCCACATCCTGGATGCAGATACTCGCAAATATAAAGCGGATAGCTGCAGATTTGTAGGTTTCTAGATACAAAATTTGTATCTGCAAAAATGAGCCACGGATATCCACATCTGCAGATACCTGTGACTATGAAGTGGGTATCTGTAAACTCGTAGGGCTGTGTCCATAGGATCTTAAATTGGATTTTGGTCTGAACTGCATCTGGTGAGGGAGGTGCTTTGGGAGCCATTCATGAGGGGCTTTAACGAGGATTTAAAGGCTGGGAAGAAAGGAGATGCAGAGAGGAAACGACAAATGGGGCCAGGATCATGCTGACTATGGAAGTGGAGCTAGAAATGGCTTAGCCTTAATCCATGCAGTTTTCCTTTGGGCGGGGGAGGGCTCTTCAGCAAGGGCAGTGTGCCAGCTGTTACTCTTACACAGGGTTCCGGATGCCACCTGGCTGACCAAGTCCAGGTCATAAGTTGAGTTTGTCTTCAGCAGCTTGCCCCCGGTTGCCCTCAGGAGGGGTGGAAGCCAGCTCAATAGAAAGAGGGCTGATCTGAATGACTGAACGCTTCAAGCTCTGTCCACCTCAGGCCTGTGTGTCTCTCACTGCACTTTGGCAGCTTGAGGTTATGAGAAACCCCCTCTATCAGAGCGCACAACCATCCTGGGAGGAAAGCTGGAGGCTGTATATTATGTTTGCTACAGTCGCATTGGTGCTGAGCTTCTTTGGTTTGCTTTTCAGATTCTGGCTACTTGTTTGTTCAGTGGCAGCCGTCCGGCGTCCCAGGCATCTCAGTCAAAGGAGTCGCCCGCATCAGGTAAGGATGAGAATGTGCAGTGCTGAGACTCCCAGGCTGTCTACACTGCATCCCTTTTACGGAAAAGGGAAGCAGATGAGACAAATCGGAATTGCAAATGCAGCAGGGATTTAAATTTTCCCCACTCTATTTGCATGAACATGGCTGCCTCTTAAAATTAGGAATAAGGGACCTTTCGGAAAAGGCTTTATTTTCTGAAAGATCCCCGTCTAGACTGGCGCTTTTTTCCGGTAAAGCCCAGAGCCGGAAAAAAGCAACAGCCATGTTCATGCAAATGGAGCGGGGAAAATTTAAATCCCCGCTGCATTTGCAATTCCGACTTGTCTCATCTGCATCCCTTTTCCGGAAAAGGGGTCCAGTGTAGACACAGCCCCAGGATTTGCAATGACTTGCTGAAACACAGGGTAGACGATTTACCCTAGTTCTTCCCCATCTCTTCCCTCCCTGCCCATTTTTCCAATGAAAATTCAGCATGATGGTCAGTCAGATTGTAGTGGTGCCTGGTAGTGAGATGCATTCCCCCATCAGGCTAGGTGCCATACTTCCACAAACTAAAGCAATCCCTGCCTGGAAGATCTTCCAATGAAATCAACAAGACAGGCATAGAAGGGCTTGCACTCCTCATTCTGTAGATCAGACATGGAGCAGTTACGTGGCTTACCCAGTGGGATGCAGCATCTGCAGGAGAATGAAGAACTGAACCCCAATCTCCAGTGTGGTGCTTTAAACGCAAGACCAGCCTTCCTGGAATTTGGACCTGTCCTTAGCATGATGCCTGTTGAGTGGATGCGGGTTGCTGCTTTGGGTCCGAGTGAGTCCCAAACCACTGTTGCTTTTTCCAGTTTATACAGCTTCAGAGGTCTCCATAGTGCATCTCCCCTGCTAAAACCCTTCCCTATTCCCTCACCACCAAAGTTGGGATCGGGGGTTGCTATTGGGAATGTGTAAAGTTGTTTCAAAAGGTAACCAAGTAACTGTTAAAAATCTCAGCGGTTACCCACGCTGCGGGCTCTCATCCCTACTCCATACGCAGCCTGTTTGTTTGTGGCCCATGGCACAGCAGGGCTCAACACACGGCCAATGGGTGGGATCCTTTGCATGGGAACATGCTTCACAATGGCGAGGCATCTGCCAGGCAGGATGAGCATTGAAAGACACAAGTGGGACGGGCTGGCTGGAACAGACGAGTACAGGGTGTCGGTGTTTCTAGCCCCCAAGGAAGAGGTGCCAGGAGCACTGGAGCATTGTGGGAAAGCAGCTATTTGCATATACAATTGCATGTCTATTCAAGCACACTTAAGTTGCAGCCCTTGGCGTGTGATATCATTGTGACCCCCAGGGCTTCCAGAGTTGAGTAGCCTTGCTGTAGAGTGTGCAGTGAAGCCTCCGCAGGAGTGGGGCTGCCAGCCCCTGCTAGCCCTTCTCCCGGGGAGCCACAGCGTGTAACCTGCAGCAGCAGAGAGCTGGGCCTGCCATAGACAGGGGCTGCTCCAGTGGGCCCCATGGGGCTGGAGCAGCCCCCTGCCCGGGGCGGGGAGCTACTTCAGCCCCTACCAGTTAACTAGAACCAGCAAGCCTTACCCTAAAATTGGTGAGGCTTACTGGTTAACCTTCTCCATCCCTAGTTGCTAGCGTGGTGATGCATCAGCCATGCTGTGGATCCTCTACATCTTTCTTCTAAAACCTTATTGCAAATGGCTTTATAACACGTATCCGGTGGGGTGAAAATCTAATGTATCACCCCTCCCTTTTAAAGTCTGAATTTATTGCTGAGAAAGGGTGCCCGGTAGCTCTACAGACTCTAGGCATCAGCCTGGGCAGCAGCAATGGGAGTGTGTTGCATTTCAACCCTGATCAGGAGGGTAACATCTTAAACCTAAGACGGAAACTTCTTCTCCAGGCCTGTTCTTGGTCTCCATGGGGCCGGGGAGGGATGTCAAGTTGCAAGGGTTTTGTTGCTGACTGGGATGTGGTCTGAAATTTCTGCTGTTTCTGGGGATGTTACACACCCATGCTTTACTTTCTTTTGTTAGCTGCAAAAATATTGGAAAACATTTTGAGATCAGTCTGAGAGATTTCAGGCTTTCCATCTGCAGCTTTCCCCCTCTGTAGTTTTTTTCCTGTCAAAGGAACTGATAATCAGACTTCTTTGTGTGCTGTGCCTGTTTGCAGCCTCCTCATACTGGTGACCTGTCTGTTGCACTTCTGACCCCAAAGAGAACTTTTGTCCCTGTCTGGATCCTTTGCCTCTGCTTCCAGTTTGTACTGCCTGGGTTTTAACAATCAAAACGCAGCTGCAGTCTGGGTTAATTCCTTGCCCATCCCCCGTTTTCCTGGTGTGCTCTTCCAACAAACCTGCCAAAATCACTCATTTTAAAATAAGCTGCATGCAAAATGTAAATTCCACTGAATGAGCCCAGTGACCCAGATCCAAAGGGTGTCCCGGCCGATTTAAAACTTACCTTTTCTCCTCTGTTCTAAGTGGTGTTCTCCCTTCCCTTCAAAAGTTCTCCCATTGTGATGCACCTGGATGAACCATGATGTGACATCACGGTTACAATACCAGAAATCCCAGCTGAGGCTGCTCCATGGAGTTCCATGATAGATGCTGGGATGATGGTGCAGTAGAAGTAGCTGATCTATGACTTGGGGAACCTTAAAGGAGGGAAAGGGTAAGATTCTGGTAGCGTTTGTGCTGAATTGCCCCAGAAAGCCCAGTTGGGGACGGGGCCAGATAGTATAGTCAAAGACTCTCACGGTTTTTGCATGTATTCTCCAAAGCAGCTGAGAATGGGGGAGGAGAGCAGGAAAGTTTCCTGGAGTGGAATCGGTAACTCACCCTGCTGTGGGTCCGGTGTCAACTAATGGTTTGAAGCCTGTATCAGGGCCTGTTAAGAATGGGGGTATTTGAGTGGATTGAACCTGGGTTGCATGAGGCGGAAAGCTCAGTGAAAGGAGAGGTTACCTTCCAACCTCCTGCTCTGTTGGGCACAGGCAGATTTAAACCATCCCCATTTAAATGGAGCAAAGTCTTGGGCCTTCTCTGAATACAAAAGTTGCACAGATCTAACAAATCAACTTAGTTAAAATAGGTGCCACTCTTGTGTGTAGACAAAGCCTTAATAGAGTTAACCAAAGTCTGCTGTGCTAAGCCTTGTTTGCCCGGGTTCCTTTGCAAAAATAGAAGGTTTTGCCTCTGAAGCTAGGGCATTGCAGAGAATTACTTTTGAGTAGAAAATGTTCCTGTCATTCTCAATATGGCAAGGACTTTTTGGAATGAGTAGGGACACACACACACACTCCTCTTCCACACTGGCTGGAGAACACCCCAACACATCTCCCAGCCTAAATCCTCTCTTTCTGACCCTGGCATGTCTCTATTTCAGAGTACTACTCCCTGCTGTCTGGAAGCTGCGCCTCATCCCCCATCCCGTCACCAGCACCTTCGGTGGCTGGATCCGTCACCTCCAGCTCAGGCTCCTTGCGCTACCGCCGTCCCCTTATCAGTCCTGCGCGCCTGAACCTGAAAGGGCAGAAGCTGCTGCTCTTCCCATCCCAGAGCGATGCTCTGCACACGCCAACCAGCCTGGATGAGCCCACCCACGCCGACAGCAACGTCTTCGCTGCTGAGCTGTCCCCGTTCCCGAAAAAGAACCTCAACGAGCGGGCAATGCATGGTACGTTCCTGCCCCCTTCCCCAGAGGCCAGTTCGGTCACAAGTCAATGTGCAAGCTAAGCAGCTGGCAAAGGGAAGGGGAGACCATCAAGGGAAACGCAAGTGGTGCTGATGGCTCAGTAGCTGAGAATCCATTACATGGCCGCTGTTCTGCTAGAGATCCTGTCCGACAAATCAGAGGCGAAACCAAGATCCTTTCCACTTGTCATTTAAGATCCCGTTATTTTTATTTGGATTATCAGAGGTGCTTTCATGTGATTAAGGGCATTAGCCCATTTGTCCTGGCCATATCCTAGCTTGGATAGGAAATTCATCCCACTGTTGCAGTTATGTTAGTATCGCCCGGATGATTTATACCACAGAGCCCCTAGATTTGATTTTTGTCATCTCTTCCAGTCCTGACCTCTAGTGCAGGGTGGCTTTGCAATGTTTCACCAAGCACTTTTTGCAACAGGTTTATAATTTCCTTTGCATCTGTTTTCTGATGGTTCCTCTTCCTTTCCTCCCTTAGATATGAGGGCAGCCATGGGAAGAGGGAGTATTTGCAGTAACAATTCCATCAAAAAGGAGGATAATTCGTCACATTCATCCACCTGTGTGGTGGACACGACCACCAAAGGAGAAGAGCCAGCAGGCTGGAGAGGTGGGTGGCTGTGTGTGTATGTGTGTATGACTTGGATATGATCACACCAGAAATCATGGGTAGAGACCAGAGAAGGTTGTAGATCTCCTGTGTCCCAGTCCTGTGATTTCACTATAAGGCTCGCTTTATTCCTCAGCACATCTGAGAAACGCTGAGTACTCCAGCATTATGCTAGGTCAAGAAATGGAGAGTGAGATTGGAAAGGAAAGGAGAAGTCCATCAGAATCTTTCCTGCCTGGATTGTGGCTGGAAACAGGATTCTCCAACTTCTGATCCAAATAAAAAGTGTTGGGTATGAGAAGGGAGATCATCATTATTTCATCAAGTTCCCTAACAACTTTTTCTGGCTTTTTTTTCCCCCCCCTTCCCATCAAAGGTCATTTTGGGAACTCCATTATCCGAGGTCTCCTAGCCATGAGCCTGACAGCCAATGCTATCTTCACATCTGCCTACCTCTACCAGAGCCTGCGCTGACCCATGCTGCTTCTCCACTTGGTGGCGCCACCCACTTCCCAAGAGACTCTACGAGAAGAATTCAACCACAGCTTCAGTGTCTTTTGGCTATGCCACAGGTGCATGCTGCTTATCCACCACTGCCCGCCAGGCTGCAGCGACAAAGAACCACACAGCTGCTGCTGTCACCACCTCTGAGCAGAACGTACTGAAGGGCTGTTGTGAGGCTGGAGATGGCCGGCGGGACTCTTCGCAATGCCCGCTCAAGGTGAGAGGTCAGCTAACGTCCCTTGCACCTTCTTTCTAAGGATTCGGTCTGTGACATGAACTAGAGAAGATGTAAATGAGCTGGTTGGCTCGGTCTCATCCCATCTTTCCCACGGATTAACCAACCTCACATGGATGGCAGTGATGGAATAAGAAGAATTAGAACAAATAAATTGGAGACAAGAGACAGGACTTGAGCTTCAGATATTGAAATGGCTTCCCCGGCCTGGTTTCCTTATTAGCACCTAGTCTGTCTCCCCTGTTCGTTGTATGTGAATGGTTTTATGTCCTCCTTAAGGTTGGTGGGGACTTTAGCTGCTCTGTGATTCTCTTGCATGGGGTGTATGTGCGTGCATGTACTTCTGTCTGGTCTGCTGTCTGAGGTCTAGTGAGCCGGGTACTTCCCTGTGATGCTGGCTCCTGGTAACTGTTCATGTCCATTGCTCAAATGTGTGCAGCTGCTGTAGGGCTGGGCACGTCTGCATTAAGAAAGTAAGCTCATGCTTTTCACCTTGCCAGGAAGCGCCAATACTGCTGTAATAAGATGTGCCCTAATCCACTTGGGTTGTGCCTCAGGGGCTCTAGTTCTGACTGCGCGTGTGGTTGCTGGAGTCGGGAGCTGCACAGCTTGTTCTTACTGTAAACCATACTAACATACTGTGTGAAGGGCACTGCTAACAGGGAGACGTCGGATAACATGCTCCACTCTAGAGGCTCACCTCTGGTCTTTGGGAATGGTGTGTATAAGATATTATCTGCTTGGCTAAACTGCAAGTCTCTCTGCACTAGGGATGCACCAGACCAGCTGAGCCTCCCGGGTGTCCCTTAAAATCCATGGTGCCAGCCCAACACTTTCTCAAAACTAGAAACTATTTTTGAATCTCAGTTTTTTTGGGTGCCCAACTTGGGATGCCTTAAAGGAGCCTGGTAATTTTTTTTTCCAGAGGGTGAGTGTTCAGAGCTCCTTGGAAATTGGGTCCCTTTATGGTGTCAAGTTGGGCACCCAAATCACTAAGCATGTCTGAAAATGTTGCCCCTCATATCTCAATTCCCACATCCCAACCACATGGTGCAAAGGGAGACTGAGCCAACACTAAGGATGAGGCCTATGAAGCATCACAGGACTCTGCCCAGAACTTTCCTGCTGTCCTGGTGCTGTTTTCCTTTTGGTCTTAAATTCTCTTACTTGTCCCTATCTTCTCTTCAAATTGTGTTTGCTCAGTCCCTTCCCCTCTGCACACCCTGCTGCTCGCTACTTTGGGTATTCTTCCTCCTCCACACACGTCCACCATGGTAGTCTGCTGGTGACGAGAAACTTCCCCGTTAAGCTGAAAATCTCACCATGTAGTATGGATCAGATCTTTTGAGGGACTGTGTTCCCTTCACGTTGCTTACTAAGCCACCATGCTCCCTTGTGGGACAAACAAAGTAATGACCTAACACTAATCAGTTATTCCTGGTGGCTGGAGCTGTGGAAAATCAAGTCTTGCTCTCCCTGTGTCTCTTGCACCTGTTCCTGCATTATCTCAGCAACCCTATTCCAGCTGCTGTACTCACTGATCCATGAAGCCTCCTCTCTCATCCCATGGAGGAGACTGATCAACTGCTGTGGGCTCTTCTCAAGAGATTTTGGAAGTAGGATCTCTGACTCTGCCGCTTTCTCTTGATCCTTCTTTGGTGTTCTGGCCTGTCCGTATACCAGGCAACTCCTTCACCTCAGCCTAGATTCAGACTAGCAACTGCATCCAAAATAGCGGGCATGCTGCATGCTGATTAGCAACTTTTTGTAACTTGCATCAATTGGTTTCCATGTTGGACTAATCCATGACCTTGCTTGTGTTGAGATTTGTGTCCCTTTTAAATGTTTTTGGCTTCTATTTAGTGTTCATAATAAGCGCACACACAAAAAACACCACCCTGGTGGTGCCTGCACTGCTGAGCACTCCACAAACTTCTCCATACAGCTGAACCACCGGGAACTCACTCCTGACTTGCAACAACACATGGTATCCTGACTTTCAACATGCCCATGTGATCTGAAGCAGAGATCTGCATGCCATAGAGTACAGTGGCCTTGTGTATCTTGCTATGATAAATGTGCACTGTGACTTTGCTTATGCCCCGAAATTTGTTTCACTTCTCAACTCGTGCTTTGTGCTGTATTTACCCACCGCCACATCTCTCTCACAGCCCCACTTCACATGGCTTTTATTTGTCCCCACCAAACTCCAGTGCTGAGTTTGCCCCTTGCTAGCATTTCTTCTTTGTTCCCAGCACCCATGGCCCTCCCGGGTCCTCCTTTTTCCCTCCTGCACACCTCTTGTTTCAGGAACTCCTTAATTTTACTTCTGAATCTGCTGCCGGTTGGGCTCCTGGCCAGTCATTTAGGTGACCCTACGTGAAGCCATTTTAAAACTTTTTGGATGTTATTACAGAAGAGGAAAATCACAAGACCTCTCAATCTGGTGCTAGAACAGTGTGGGAGCGGTGCTGTTGCTGATGCAAAGCCTTCACTGTTGTTAGCGTGTGTGCATGTATGTGTGTGTACGTGTGTATATAAATATTTGAAGAGTTTCTTCATTTTGAAAGATTTGAGCCCAAGTTTGTTCCTGTGTTGTCAGCCTTAATCCAGCTACCGGACACTGTGTCCATCTTGCTGCTGCTACTGCTGTTTCTGTATAATGCTGGTATGGAGGAATCAAAAATCTAGTTCCCAGGTCAAAACCTTTGTGCATGAATTGCTGGTGGCATGGGTCTTTGTACGATATTGTTCAGGGATGGAATTTTATTTTTCTAATGGTTTTTCCTGTACAAACCTTTGGGGAGATGGGGATAGATGTAAACTTTCTGTACATTAAACAAGATTTGAACTTTTATTTAAATAAGGTCACGGTCAACTTCGAGATGGGTTATAAAGGAACGCTTACCAAAAGGAACCTTGACCCTGTTGCTGAATGATCACCCTCTCTTATCCCCACCCTCCTATAAAGACATACACAACCTTCCTCTCTGTGCTGGGATCCATTATGCATGTCCCAAGACCTTAGAGAGTCTTCCTGTGATTGTCTGAATTAAGATGCTATTTTCCCATAAGGTGGCTATATCAGTGGGTGTTAAGTATATTGTTAAGGGAGTGGATCGTTGGGAGGACAAGTTGTTCTCTCCTAGGATAGCCTAGATCTAAAAGTAAGCATCCCTGGCATACAAGTGGGCTGATCTATAGGGACTTCAGTCCACTTACTCAGTGGCAAATTTTGGCCTGTGAATGTCCAAATCCTACCCTTTATTCCTGGGTGACAGTAATGTTGTGGAACTGCTGAACTCGTCGGGGGTCTAATGCAGCTGGAAGCCTAGGCTGCTTCTGGATCTCTCTGGATATTGCTGTTCTATTTCCCAGCCACCTTCATAGTCTTAACTTCTATCCCAGATGTCTGTAACAAGGTCAGAAAGCACCTATTTGGTCAGTGCAAGGTAGGTGTTTCCACAAATGCTGCCTCCAGAAGTGACTATCAAACCCTTTGTGTGCTTGGATGGAAGGGCAGGGGTTTGAGGCTTCTGCAAGTAGAGTAGATTTTGATGATAAAGAAGCGTCCGAAAACTCATCTCCTACTAAAAAAATGTTATCTGTTTGCTTGTTTGGGCTCTAATGCTGTACAGTTTAGTTACATTGTGTGGGGAACTCTGTCCCCAGCAGGTTTTTAGTTCATGCTCTGTGTTTAAAGAGGATTATTTTTCTTTAAAAAACAAAAAATACAAAAAAGTTGAAATTATAAATCTCACTCAAATGTGTCTTTTTATTAGCATTATTTTTAGGGAAGGGGCGGGTGGCACAGGTGTGCACGCATGTGTGTCTTGCAATAAAGCTGCGATTTTAAAGCTACACAAAGTTAGCAGACAACTTAAGGCGATGCAAGTTGTCCCGGGGCAGTGCCCCACCTATGAGATGCAATCCTGATCCGTAGGGAATCACCTTTTGGATGAGTGGGAAACCTGATAATCTTGGCCATTCAATTCTTTCTCCTCCATTAAGATTGCCAGTCAGTTATAAATGAAGATTTTGTGATGTGGACAGGTAACTAGATTGAGACCCACTAACAGGGAACGTGTCAGCCACTAACCTGCTACAGAGCTGGTAGTAACATTCATTTCTAGTTTGCTACAATATTAGCTGTCGGAGAGAGGGTCTGTTTCCATTATCAGTCCTTTTAATTGTCTAGATTCATCTCAAGTGGATATATCAGTTACATTTGTTAGCTCAGGAGATTAGTTTGGTAATGTGTGCTTAAAAAAAATTAGTCACTTGCCCCTTTCATTGCTTTCTTACTGATGAGTGTCCATCAAAGAAACATTTTTCAAATACCCCTTTATTGTTTGGGATTTCTGCTGCCCACCCTTGAGAAATGGAACAAAATGTCTTACAAATGGGGTGAGTTTGTTCCGGTTACCCCATCTGGTTTCCTATTTATTCTCCATTGGCAGCCAGGCCACCCAGTAGTAAGTAACTTGCCTGTGAACCCAGTGCTAATCTCACAGTCCAGCTAGTTAGCTGGGATGGCACTATGCACATTGGGTTTCTCTGGGCCAAATACAATACAACTTGAACATAGAAAAATGAGACTGGGGGATAGATACTGACATGACTGTTTCGTGCAGTGGGGCCTCAGCATTGCCAGGAGCCCTTGGACACTATATTGCAAACTACATGAGCGTTATAAACATTGGTTTAATGGGAAACGGCTTTATAAACCTACCATCTAATGTGTTGATTTTGTACATGTATTTGTTTTAAGTGTCTTCATTGGTGCTTGCTTTTAATTTAGAGGACATAAGTAAAAATGTAATTTCTGGTACCTGTCTCGGTGGTAGCACCACATGGCAATACCTTGAGCCCTACCCCTTTCAAGCACTTCCTTGTGCAGCCTGATGTCTCCTTGTTCCTTGGAGTATCCCATCAAAGAGTGCCTCCTACTTCGGATTGGGAAAGGGAAGGACAGGGCCTGTGCTTCTGCAAACTGCTCTGGTGGCTGGAGGGGAGGAGGGGAATAGACCAAGGCCCCTGTTGGGTGCCTCCCTGTGTTTGTAGGATGCTGTCTGAGACTGGCCAGCAGCCTGAGGTTTCTACAGCTGGAGAAGACTTGTGGAGATGGATCTTATCTTCCATGTGCTACAGGGAGAAACCCATCAAAAGGGGCTTCCTACATCTGACTAGGCAAGGAAAGGGCAGGACCCTACTCTGAAAACTGCTCTGACAGTAGGAGAAGGTGGACCAAACCCAAGCCACTTCTACCTCTTGGATCCTCCTGCAGCTGCAGGAAGCTCTGTGACTTCTGCCTTCAGAGTCCTGCTCTGAAGGCAACACAGAAGTAAGGGTTAGATCCTGTTTAGCTCACTTGTTTTCAGGGCACTGCTGGGCTTGTGAAATCTCCCAGAATGCTCTGCTGTGGGCAGCTGAGGCATGGCCTGCTGGTGTCTGTACCCAGAGGTGTTTAGAGAGTAGACACTGACTGTGATCCAGCTGCTTGGGGGGACCTGAACTAGTTCCTTTACTAGCTCCTTTACTACCTGCAGCCCCGCAAGGTTCTATTTACTGTGGCCCTTGGATGAGATTGCCAAATTCTATGGGTGTCTGGTAGCCTAGGTGGAGGAAGGCTTTGCTTTCCCAAATCACCAGGCACGCCCCAGTCCACACTGCCCCAGACTGCCTGCTGTAGGCATTCAGGGGGCAGAGTTGTTGCCCCTGGTGCCCACTCTCTATGCTCCCTCACCAATGGGCTGGGTTGGTGCTCTGAGCCCTCCTCCCTCCCCACTGCACACCTACCTCCTCCCCCAGTGCACCAGGAGTGGGGTGAGCTTGCCTGCTCCCCTTGCATTCCCCGGGGTTGAGGGGGTGGGGTGGTACATTCTGTTGGGTTTTGTCCATGTAGTTTTTTTTCCTAAAGTGACATGCACCATGAAGAGAGGTGCCTACTGACTGCACACAACACAGAGCCCCAGGGGCCCTCTGCATCGAGTTCAAGGGCTGCTATGGTCGGTCTTCACACCCTGCAAGTTGGAGGTAGGCAAGCACAAAACTATCCTACCACTGGAGACCGTCTTGGTTCTGACAATCAGGTGGTCCACTGAGATGAAGGGGGGAGTTGTCACTCATACAGCCCCAGGGGGCTAAACTCCCTAGGTGGTTGGGCCTATGGTGAGAGGTCTCAGAGCAGGGCTGGCTCCCCTGCGCCCACCTTTCCACCGGCCTTTCTCCATGGCATATGCCTGCATCTGTGCCTACTGTCTGTCTCTCTCTAGCAAAAGAGCTAAACCCCGGGGTTGCAGCTATGCAGGGGGTGAGTTTGTAGGGCTAGAACTAGGTCCCTTAGCCCTGCTGCTGTGTGGGGGAGGGCAGGGGAGGGGGTTAATGAAAAGCAAGGTCGTGACCTGGCTGTGACCCTAAACAACCGCCGGGAGCTCTGATAGCGGGAGGGAGTCGCCGGGGGTCACTAGCGCGGGCGGAGCTGGCGAGCCAGGGCGCACGGGGCAGACGGAATCAGAGCGCAGGAGGCGCGTGCCTGCCGGGGAACCGGACCCAGTCCAGCTAGACAGAATCGCAGCCGGGTCCCCATTCGCCTCTCTAGCGCCGTGCGCCCCCGGCGAGGGTCGAGGAGAGCGAGTGGGAGCCATGCAAGGCGCAGGCTCCGGAGAGCTGGAAGCCAAAGCGGAGCCGCCGGTGGGAGACGAGCCGGGCACGGAGGAGGCTGCCCCGGACCCCACCGCCCCCCAGAAACCGCCCTACTCTTACGTGGCTCTGATCGCCATGGCCATTCGGGAGAGCCCGGAGCAGCGGCTGCCCCTGAGCGGCATCTACCAGTACATCGTGGGGCGCTTCCCCTACTACCGCCTTGGCCAGAAGGGCTGGCAGAACAGCATCCGCCACAACCTCAGCCTCAACCAGTGCTTCCTCAAGCTGCCCCGGGAGCCGGGCGCCGAGCGCAAGGGCTGCTACTGGACCCTGGATCCCGCCTTCCATGACATGTTCCAGCCGGAAAACTACCGGCGGCGGCGCCGAGCCAAGAGACCCCAGCGGGCCCCTTTAGCGGTGCCCGGCCCAGCCCCAGCCTGTCCTACCTGCCAGGAGCCCCCCTACTACCGGCCCCACCAGAGCCCTCCGGCCGCCTACCTGGTGGGCAGCGCCTGGGCATCCCTGGGGCAAGCCTCGTCACCCTGCGCGCTCACCAGCAGTCCCCAGGGTACGGTGACCCTGGGCGGCTACGGCCCCTACCCGCGGCTGCTACTGCCCGGAGGGGTGGCGCATCAGCAGCTGAGCCCTGCGTCAGGGGGGGCCGGCTGCCCTTACCAGCAGCCCCCGGAGCTGCCCTTCATGCATTACTGGGGGGACCAGGAGGGACCCTACGGCGCCTTGGCCGCCGGGATAGACCTTTGAATCCTTGGTCATGGGGCCGGAGAGCTCAGAGTCTGCGCCCAGACCCGGCTGGGGACCTTGGCTTCTCCCTCTTCCCTGGTGATCGTTATCAGAACTACAACAACGCACGTGTTTCCCCCGTCTCCCTGCTTCTACTCTGAGAGGGGGGAGCCCCGGGCTCCGATCTGATAGATGCCAGGGACCTCTCCCTTGTTAACGCAATAACGGAAGGGGTGTCACCGGCAGGGGAGGTTTGATGGAGCCTCCCTAGAAGGAGGCGCAAATTCGGTAGAAAGGGGAGCAACACTTCTAAAAAGAGGAGCGACCTCGACATGGACTTTTCTTCTTCCTTTGCCTTGAAAAGGGAAGGAACCGGTACAGTCCCACATTACCCCACGTATTACACTTCCAAATTCAGATGAATACAGAGTTCCGAAGAGTTAAGAGTTGCAGGGTGAATCTCTTGGCATCCTCTGCCCCGGAGAAGGATCAATTTGAGGACATTATTTGTTCTGCAGAACTAGACCCTAATACTTTAGAAATTCTCTCTCCGCAAAGTATTTGAAATAACTTTCATCGGAGACCAAAACTTTCTGGTTCGAAGGAAAGAATAGTTTCCCACATGTTCCCTGTTACAGAGTTATTGTAGAAGCTGTAGTGAGTTGTTTGAGTCAGAATAGTATTAACATTTTCAGATATGTTAATTTGTGAAAGTCCCTTTTAAAATATGCAGTTACTGAATAAACGATTGGTTGCTTGTACATCAATTAGGAATTAAAAGCCAGGCTATATTCTTTTGGGCAAAAAAGATTATTGAAATGATTTAAAGTATGGTGCCTTATTTCATTGTTGCTCCTGAGAAATGGGAATTTTTCACTTACATAATCATTGTTTCTTTTACTGTGTTAAATTCAGTGGTATTGGTGAAACTGGAAATGCCTCCCATTGGGCTGCAAACTGTAAGCAAAGAGAGGTTGATCAACTGCTCATTTTTGTCCAGTCCCCAAAACAATTTCTCAAACTTAATGTGTATCATTGTAAAAAGGGAAATGTAGTTACTTTCTGGAAAATAATTTTTGCAAGTGACCTTCAAAACTTGATTTCTGAACTTTTTTTAAAAAAAGAAGTATTATATAAAGGAATAACTTTTATTTTTAAAAGAAAAAAGATGTTAAATGCCAAAGACTTGGAGGATAGATATTGTGATCTTCATGTTTTCACATTTGAAAAGAAACCATTTTGCTTGATGTGAAGTCAGAATGCATTTTATATACTGTTCCTTGTTAGCATAGTTATTGTGAACAAGGCTATAATGACAATGCAGCACCCCTTTTATGATCTGAATTGTAAGGGTGGCTTTAGCTCTTTTCCAAAAAAGATTCCAAAAGAAAATAGTATTTCTAGTAGAAATTGCAGGTTGGTTTGTTAGAGAAATAAAGGGTTTCACTACCAATGCGCATAGCAGAACTTTCTGGTGTGTTCCGTTTTGAGTCTTGTTTCAATAAATATTTGTTACTTTATAAAACATATGTTGTTTGGAAAATACTTTAACTAGTTTTATTACTGTGCTGACTACCCCCCTTTGATTTAAAAGAATACGTAACCCAAACTAGACCAGAGTTCCAACGTTTAATCGTTAAAGTAGTTTTGAATTTGTTCTTTAAAATAACTTCCATAATACAACACAAACAAGATTTTAACCCAAATCTATTAAGGTTGTTATGGGAATATCCTCTGGTGAAGCAAGTATGCATATACATAATGTTCATTTGTTGCAGTATTAAGGTTTTCAGAGAAATAAGTCATTTTCCACTGTTGCTTTAATGTGGATCCTAATATTAGTGTTCAACAAACCACCCACTAAGTATAGTTGAACTTTTGGTATTAAATGCAGAGAAAAAGGCTACACATTGTACCATTACAGAATTATTTCTGTTGATAAATTCCATGGAAGGATATTTTTTCTTACTGTAATTAATCCACTTTTCTGAGATGTGGTAGTTATGATAGAAGAATCCGTTTGTTGACCTAGCTGCATTTACAAGGGAGGGTGGGGGCAAAGTCAACCTAACTAGAGTGCACAGGATGCAATATTTTTCACAGCCATAAGCAGTTTAGGTAGGTCAGTTCAATTTTTAAGTATAGACCAGGTTTTAGATTCCCCTTGAAGTTAATGGAAGGCAAAGGAGCTAAGCATCTTGCATGTGATTGGACCTTTAATAGACAGATAACAGAAGAGGCAGCTGTAAGAGTAAAATAAACTGTAGAGACGGGGAATAAATTTATTGTGTTACTGGACCCCCTACAAAGATGGGATTATTTTTCCCTAGCTTCTTTTGAGTTATCTGTGAGATATATGGATGTGTTGTTTTTAAAATGAAAATGTATATACACGCTCCCTCTCAATGGGAACAACAGGTTCTCTGCAACTTTGAAAATCAGGGCTTAAGCCCTGTGTCTCAGATCTCATGGCAAATCCAAGTGTGAAATGGAAATCCTTTGAGTTGGGCAATGAGACTGGGTAGTATGGTGCACAGATTGTAGCCCAGTCTGGGATATTTGCTCCATTTTCTATCCTCTCTGCTTAGTGTTTATAACATCATGGTTTTGTGGTTTTGCTCTAGGTGAGCATCAGAGCTTTGATGCTGTGACAACAACTGAGTATCCTACAGTTACCAGTATGTGGGACAAAGTGCCAAGATGTTGTTATGAGAGAGACTAAGCAAAGAGAAAATAGGTTGCTGGAATGAACACAGACACACACGTTTTAAATAGTTGAAAGGGGGCACAGTGAACAGTTTTTAGGAGATGGTACAGGTACAGCATCTTATTGGAGACAATAACACGGCTACATTTCTATCACTATTGGAGAGAAGTAACTTGGAGAGGCCACTAGTGGTCAGCATTGTGTTATGCTTGAACATCTATGAGAGCCTGTAAATGATCTGGAAGAAGTAAGTAAAATAGCAAATGATGGGAAACTATGGGGGTTCTGCAAATTGATCAGTGGGTGTCTGAATTTCAAATTGTGAGTTACATCACAGCTCATGATTCCTTTATAAAACCCTCAGTCCCTCTCCCCACTTGGCTTCCAGGAAAAGCAGAGATCGTGCCAGGAAGGGAGAGGTGCCGGGAGAGAAAGACAGAACCCCCCCCCCCTCCACACACACACACACACACACACACAGCCCATAATGGTGCCAAATCCCCTAACACCCATATTTAGGATAAGTTCAGATCCGAGCCTTGAAGCTCATAGTTCATAGTGCACAATTCAGAGTGCTAACAAACAGGAAGGAATGTGAGGAGGATGGAGGTCTATTCTTCCTTCCTTATGTGCTTGTCCCTCTCACTGATGAGGCTAAAGTTCGGCATGTGCAAGTTGATAAGAGAATGGTCACTAGAGTTAAGATAGTGGTCACTTCTACTACTGATCTCTCACTTCATCCATCTGATGAAGTGAGTTGCAACTTACAAAGGCTTATGCCCAACAAAATTGTTAGTCTTTAAAATGCCACCAGCAGTATTCCCTCTAATTTTTTCCATCCGTGTATGGAATAAATTTTGGTATGTGCACTGAGGCATGTGTGGATGTGCACCACCAGTAGAAACACATGCTGTTGGTGGTGGGCGCTCTGCTAATCAGCTGGGTGGCATTGGAATCTGTCCTTGGTAGCCACCCAAGTGTTCAGCTTACAGGGAACACAGGCCACTGGACTACTTGTTTTTGCTGAAACAGACTAACACGGCTACCTTTCTGAAATTTCTACTGCTGCTTCATCTCCTGAGTACTTTACTTCCTATCAGCACTAGATGGTGCCTTTGTAGTTTGCTATTAGAACATGAGCTTCTTGTTAAATTGTTTTAGTCACAGAGGGGTGGAGCACCCATATTGCTCAGCCCCTCTGAAAATGAGGCTGTAAATGCATACCATTGTAAGCAAATCTTATCTAGAGGGAGATTCTGACATTTCTGGGAGTAGCGGCAGGGTGCTCATCCTCTGGGAGAAGAGCTCAGAAACAAATATCTGTTGTTTTCTGTCACTGAGCTACAGGGAAATGAGAAATGGTTCTAATTTCCCTGTAGCTCAGTGATAGAAAACAACAGATTGGATTTGATAGCAGCTTTCGACTTCCTGAAGGAGGGTTCCAAGGAGGATGGAGAGAGGCTGTTCTCAGTAGTGACAGATGACAGAACGAGGAGCAATGGTCTCCAGTTACAGTGGGGGAGATCTAGGTTGGATATTAAGAAAAACTATTTCACTAGGAGGGTGGGGAAGCACTGGAATGGGTTACTTAGGGAGGTGGTGGAATCTCCATCCCTGGAGGTTTTTTAGTCCTGGCTTGACAAAGCCCTAGCCTGGGTGATTTAGTTGGGGTTGGTCCTGCTTTGGGAAGCAGGCTGGACTCGATGACCTCCTGAGGTCTCTTCCAGCCCTAGGATTCTGTGATTCTTTGAACCATCTGCTTCTGACCCTGTCTCAGAACCTAATCCCAAGATCTCTGTGAATGACCAGGGTATGCTGAATTAATTTCAGTTAAAGAGCTTGGGTGTGTGTATGGACCAGCCAACGGAAATGGCATCCAATGTACTGCTAATCGGAGTATATGACTTAGGCAGAGTGTTCATAATGCTCAGGTTATGGACTCTGTTGTGCAGAGGTTAAAGCCAAGGACTGGATTTTAAATTACTTTGTGCTGTCTCCTCTATTATTGTTCATGTTGCAGTCAGTTTGTCCAACTTCCTGGGTTGTGAGGAAAGAAGCACAGCCAATGGCCAATGTTCCCTCTAATCTGTTCTATCCATGTGCGGAATAAACTTTCATGTGCACTGAAACATATAAGATGTGCACCACCAGTAGAAACACAAAACCTAGCTAATGGGCGCACTGTTAATCAGCTGGGCAGTATTGAAATGCCTTCTGAGCAGTTACCCAAGTGCCCAGCTTACAGGGAACACTGGGCACAGCCCATCATTAAACAATTTTATGCAGAGTTCTAGGATTCCCCAAGGATTACTGTTCTCTGATCCTCTCATGGTGATATTGGCTTTGTCAGTGCCTGGCAGGCTATGTCTACACTACAGGGTTTTTGCGCAAAAACCCGCCGAGTATCCACACCTCAAGTGCCTTTTTGTGCAAGAAAATTTACAGTAAAACAGCAGAACAGAGGGCTTTTTGCAGTGTATGAGGAATAGCTCCTTTTTGTGCAAGAGTTCTTGTGCAAAAAGTCATGTGTGAACGCTCCACAGGGGTTTCTTGTGCAAAAAGAGACTATCAGAAAAAGCCCAGGTGCTCTGATGGCCATTCTGTGAATGGCCATCAGAGCTTTCTTGTGCAAGAGTGTCCATGCAGTGTGGACGCTCTCTTGTGCAAAAGCATATCGCTTTTACGATGCACTTTTGAGGTGTGGACATGCTTTTGTGCAAGAAGTTTTTGCGGAAGATCTTTTGCACAAAACGTTTCTTGTGCAAAAACCCTGCAGTGTAGACAAAGCCTCAGAGACTAGCCTAAAGTTGGGTCTAGCAGTTCAGGAGTATTTGGGGCTCTCCTCTGTGGGTTTGATGGCTCTGTGACAGCTGTGAGTCTTTTGTCGGTAAATCTCTTCCTCCTGGGTCTGCATCCATATGCACTGACTGATCTCTTCAGGACTGTACAGTTTTAATAAAATAAAATAATTGCCTTTATTATTGTCGGTCCTTCAGATAAACCAGACTGTGTCTGTCCTCAGCCTTAGCCCTTTGGGTGAGCAATGTGAAGACTTTAAAAACAAATCCAGAAATGGTAAAGGTTGCATTTCCCCAGTTAGTAAGTGGAATAGGATGAAGCATGCTCTTCCCACTTAGCTACAATAGGGGATGCTCTCTGGGCAAGAAGAAGAAGTGTGGATTTTGGTGACAGGGTCTGGTGTGTGAGCAACAGGTTTGCAGTCAGGGCAAATTTTGTCCCCTAGTTGCCATTTTTGTCTTCACATAAGTTCCCCAGTCATAGTGTGTACACCCCGTGTGTGCACTTGAACAATTCTACACTTGCATGTGCAGGAGACTTTTACACACAAAACCAGTAGGGCAAAAGGGTTTGGCAGGTGCAAAGCCCAACAATTCTATCCATTACCAGTGTTATGGGTCTGGAATCCAAACTGGTCCTGTGGTGTATCTCTAGTAGCCTCTCCTGTTGGCTCCTTCCTCTCTTCTAGCAGACAGTGTCTCTCACCCAGGCAGAGTTAAAGATGCATTTTGCATGTCACTTGAGAAATTGTGGGAGTGAGGAACACATGCACGGGTACAAGCATTCTGCTTTGGCACTGCACAACTCTGCATGCACGTGTATAAGAGATTTATATCCCACAAAACCCAGCAGGGTAATTAGCTTTTCCACCAAAGTCAGGCATAGTGTAGAGAGGTATTACACTCATTTGTGCACCCGCCCACCGCTCTACCAATGCCTCTCAATCCTGACCTGCAACACTTCCAGCTCTCATAGTCTCGGGTAGAAGCTGTCAATCATTCTGAATTGTACTAG